TCCTCCTATGGTTTCTTACTGGGTTCCGCCCCGACCCACAACTTCTTCGATCTCCATTATAGGGCTGATATCGATCCTCGTTTGATCTTGGTTCACGATTGATGTCCCTCTTGGCTCTACGAGAATCCAGGCGGGATATATAGACTTCGAAGGTGCCCTAATTTGATCATCTTCAACTCTAATTTTCAATTGATACTGATTGTGTACATCGGTCTAGGTAACGGCAAGGTATTCTATCAGGCTTTGCTTTAATTTCTGCGAAGCCATCGAGCTTCGAATATTGAGTCCCTGAGTGAAAGCCTGAATAGCCCAATCATCGGTGACCGGCGGCAGATCCATTCATTCCATTTGAAAACGGGACACAAACTCCCTGAGCATATCGTTCTCTTTCTGTTTGACTTTGAAAATGTCTGATTTTCTGGTGTTGACCTTGATGGCACCGGCATGTGCTTTTATGAAAGAGTCTGCAAGCATAACAAATGAGTCAATATAATTAGGAGGTAAGTTGTGATACCATATCATGGCTCCCTTCGACAGGGTCTCCCCAAATATTTTCAGCAAATTAGACTCGATTTCGTCGTCTTCTAAGTCGTTCCCTTTGATGGAACATGTATAAGAGGTTACATGCTCGTTTGGATCAGTCGTTCCGTTGTACTTAGGTATTTCGGGCATACAAAATTTCTTGGGGATCGGTTTTGGCGTCGCGCTCGAAGAAAAATATTTTTGCACAAACTTCTTGGAATCCAGTCCCTTCAATATCGGGGTTGCTCCTGGGATTTGATCTACCCTAGAATTATAGGTTTCAAACTTTTTATCATTCGCTTCGATATTCTTTTCCCCTGACTCTATCCGCTTTGTCAGCTCCTCAAGCATTTTTATAATTTCGGGGTTAGTCCCTGACTCTTGTTCATTCGACCTTACCACAACCGGTTTCGTTCAGCGGGTGACTTCTTGGGGTGGATCGGGTTCAACCCTGCTCGGTGTCTGGGTTTGGCTCTGCAACTGAGCTATCGCCACATGTTGAGCTTGCAGCATTTCGAAGATCATGTGTAGGCTAATCCCGTCTTCTTCAATATTTTTTGTGTTACGAGCTGCAGATCAAGCTCCACCACATACGCAATTTTCAGGATCGGTACGCAAGTTCGCGTCGATGACCACATGTGAATTTACATCAATTGGATCTGCAGTCTGAATTCCAACGACATCAGCGGTTGGCCCCGCATTAGCGGACGCCATATTGTTATTCTCACCTTGATGACCAGCCTCATTGTCGATATGTGGAGGTGCTAATACAGAGTTTGTCATTTTGGCCTGAAATCAAAGATACTTCAAAGAGTAAGTGTAAAGTAGTGTGTGTTATGAAGATTTGTATCAAATAACCACTATTATCCTTGGCCCCGCGGTGGGCGCCAAACTGTTTATCCAAAAAATCGGATAACAATTGAATTTATACGCGGTTACAAGGATATGTGATCTTATTTGATACAAAGTGAGAAATCAGACTTAATATGAAAGAATAAATAGAACAATAAATGCAAACTATGCAGATTAGACAACTTAAGTCTCGCGAGGTTAACCTCCTTCGAATTTAGACGTGATATTATTGAAACCAGAATAATATGAACAAAACTAGAAAAAATAGTATGTAGTTCTTTCAAGTATGTTACAATGTGTCCCTATGAATTATAAAGTCCCCCTTATATACAGGGGGAGATCTTCCTTTTAAGACATTATTTTATAAAAAACATAAGTCCTTGATTTTGTAGACCGTTGGCCCCTTTTTTACTTAATCTTGTAATTTCTGTCATAATGATTGGTTAATGGCGAGAATCAAGAATCCTTGTCAGATGAGTTGGCGAAATCACATGAGTCTGAATTTCATATTTCCGTATGTGAAAAGAAGTATAAATATCTTCATATACCAAACGCTCGCTAATAAGTATTGCATCTTCAGAATTGTAACCCTCCCACGGCATATAAGCTACTATTTTCTCTGAGGCCGTTAAAAGAAGGATCGATGGTGCTTTCTGTAAACTCGAGGGCAAATATGATGGTCTTGTCGAAATTGAACTTCAATATTGAGCTCGGTTTCAACTGTAACTTCGATCTCTAATACATGATTTGAGCCTGGTCTATTGTTCCAGATGCTCGATCAAGAATCAAGCTCAGTTTTACCCGTATACAATTATCATGTTGTTAATCTGCAACATGATTTTCCTAGGCAAATCGATCGACGTGCTAATATATCAGACTTATGTGTAGGTACATACTGCCCAGTGCTTCCATGGCAGAATCACCATTGACAAACCATTAACAAGTTATTCGAAATTTATTTCCTTACATGCAAACTCACGTACCAACACGCACACCGCACACCATTTATTTGCAAATTAATTTTTTTTTTAAAGTNATATATATATATATATATATATATATATATATATATATATATATATAGACACATTCAAAAGGTCGTAAATTTGAAGATATTGTAGTAGATATTGAATGACAAGTTCTGTTTTATGGCCGATTCCACGATCACTTCTAACGACATGTTCGAAAACGATTTACATTATCCACACGTGTATAGTACTCCATCCGTTTCAATTTATGTGAACGCATTTGACTGAACACAAAGTTTAAGAAATAAGAGAAGATTTTTATGTCCCCCTCTTGTTGTATTAACTTTTGAGATTTAATAGACAAGGTTGGGGCCAATGCCAAACCCCCCTCCACCACGGGAGGTGAAAGCCTGGGTGGATGGTTTTAATAAAAAAAATAAAAAATAAGCGCATATATTTTGTGTGGTTATAAATCATTGCATAAAGGTAAATTATTTACAAATATGAAAATTGATCATTCTTTTTTGCACGGACTAAAAATAAAATAAGTTCACATAACTTGAAACGAAAGGAGTATAAAAATTTTGTATTTTAACTTATTCTAGTAGCTAGGTAACATATCTTATTTTTCAAGTTATGGACAATTACAAGTAGTCATTGGCTGGTGGTCAACTTAATAGTACTGTAAAAGTTCCTTTACATTGCAAGTGTAAAGAAGTTAGACGCTGTCCAAAACTAATTAAGATTTATTAATATAATTTTGATTTCTGTATTTTTTTGTGCGCACGTGTGGTATTGGGGGGAGAGGCCCTTTCTAGAAAGCTAAAGAGCCAGTATTTGAAGTACGAACGAATTCTTTGTTAGGATAGAAAAAACATGAAGATGCAAAAGACCAAATCAAATGGGAGAAAAGAGAGATATACATAAAGTTAAACTAAGGAATTGCTTTGAGATTAAGACTCAGAAATATAGGAGATATAGACAGTCATATGGTTGGTTGAGGAATTTAACCACTCTGCCTAGTAAACTCTGGCCAATATCAAAAGATAGAAAAGGATTGAGAAGTTATACCCAGGAAACATGTAATTGTGTCTCCTCAAATAGATATTATTTCAATATCCAGATTCAAAATAAGCGCATTTGTCTAAATTTTTTTCAAATGTTCTCTTTCGTTATTTTGATATAGAAAATTGTCATTGATATGCAACACCCGTGGGTTGTTAATTAATTAGTGGATGAACTCGAAATGGAGTTCGTAGCTGTAAAACTTATTTTAGATAAATTTCACAATCAGAATGGGAGAAGGTTAAAGCCATATGAGGGCTAGTTTGGGATTTGCTGAGGAATTTTTGGGAAGAGAATGTTAAAGTCATATAAAGGCGAGTTCAGGATTCAATTGTTGAACCGTCTTGCCGGTCAAACCTCAAGGGAATAAAACTGCCCTTGAGCTGTCTCAAAGGAATTAGCCAAAACGAACAATATCTTGGCAGCTAGCTAGGTCTAGACTATGACACGATCTTTACATCAAACTAGCAAACATATATATGATATGTGGCTTTCATATGCACTTTTATGCACTAATTATGGTTCTTTAATATTCTTCCACTTTATTTAATGTAACGACATTTGACGAAACACAGAATTTAAAATAAAAAATGAGTACTTCTGGAACTTATGATTTTAACATCCCATTACATTTCTGTGTCTACAAAATAAAAAATTTGTAATAAACTCTTTTCAAATACTGAATATATAGTATTTTTTAACAGATAATCAAAGATAAAATATCACATAAATTGAAACAAAAATAACATGTATCGATCATCAGTTCAATCTACCACTTTAGTCATGATACATAAATTAATGTGATTTTGATATAAACATTTTTTGTGAATAAATTCTCAGAGTTGGGGCTAAAGGAAAAGGAAAAAACAAGTGTCAATAGAATATTGTAGATGACGAAAGGGAGTTTAATTTGGGTTCTCATTGGAGCAGTGTGAAGGTTAGACAGACTTTTTGCGGTGGGTAGAAATTGGTGTAAGGTAGTTGAACATGCAACTGAAAGAATATCGGGCATCAGGTGTAACCCTAATTTCCAATTTCATTTTCTTCCCTAATTATTTATTTGCCACTAGTGTATATATATATATATATATATATACTGCCACGTTATGGAAAACTTTAACTACTTCCACTTGATTTTTAAGTTTTACCAAAGGTTAACAATAATGGTTTATTACTAGACCCTAGAGGATATATGTTAAAGACCTTAAATTCTTAATACTCCTATGATGACTAAGAAGAACCTTTTAAGTTCATAGGATTATGTAATATATGAACCTAAACCCTAGTGAATGTGTCATTTTAATTAGAGGGTATAAGTGAGCAGTAGCTAGCTCACTTTATCCAGTGGCATTATAATAATAATAATAATAATAAACACCCCGACAAATGAAAATCTAAATCTGCCTCATATATACACTATCTTTGTCAATACGGTAGCTGTAATAATTAATTATATATAAAGATTAAAAAAAGACTGAGGAATTGGCCGCTTAGCTTCTTCCTGAAGTATGGTGCATAGGAAATAACGCAGCTTAACACCATATATAATAAGCATCCTCTTTGTATCCGTACTTTAATTAATTTCCTCACAAATTTAAACAAAGTTTCTATCCCAAAATGGAAGAAAAGCTTCCTCCAGGTTTCAGGTTCCATCCCACAGATGAAGAACTCATCACTTTTTATCTCACTAACAAAGTTTCTGATTTCAGTTTCACTGCTAGAGCTATTGCTGATGTTGATCTCAACAAATGCGAGCCTTGGGATCTCCCTGGTAACTATATTTTCTTTTGCATCCTTCTCTTTGATCATTTACTTCTTTCTTTCTCTTCAACCACAGTCAACAAACAACATAGAAGCAGTGGCGGAGCTAGAAGAAGGAAACGGGTTCAACTGTTAAAAGCTTATTACTATGCAAATAGTAAAATGAATTTTTTCTTTATATATACACTGTTGAATCCATTTGAGATGGGAAAAAATTCTAATGAAGTAGTCAGAGGGGTTCAAATATTGCTTTAATTAGGTCATACAAATCTGAATTATTTGTAAAGTCGGCTTATATAATATTGTAGCATCTAGCATGATGATACACTTAATTAGTTGATTCCTGCAGCATTTGCTTTTAGTTTTTACCTATTGATTTTTCTAAAGCGATGTAGATCCAGATCTTACTGTGGATTAATGTATTTAAAAGCATAATATATATACCGTGTAGTTTGGGAAATTCAAATTTGATAAGCACTCATGGGGTGGATCGAGATTTTCTATGTTTTCCTTTTGACACGAGAAGAAAACCAAGGGAGAACAAAAATGAGATAAATTTCTTGCTTCTGTTAATCTTCTTTCATTCTTTTTCTTTTTCCAAGAAAAAATGCAGTTTACCCTAAATATAGTTAAATAGTAGGCAAAGATTGCGTCTGAGATTATACCTGCATGTAAGAATGCTTATTTACCTATCAAACAAACAGAAAATGACATTCTTCTTTTGCAAAAGCTCTCTGGATATTTTTTTTTATCAATATTGCAGCTTAAAACTTGTTTACTAGTAGCATTTTTTTATAATCTATGTTGACAAACATGGCGTGTCAAAGTGGAGATCAAGGAGAATAAAATGAACGGAAATTCTTTCTATCTAAATAAGCTCAACAAATAGCAACCACTATGTCAAGAAAACTAATAAACTAAAAAAGAAACAAAGATGCTGCTGCATGAAAATTCGAAGTAATAACGTAAACTGTTATGTTGCTCGGACTTTCTAAAAATATTGTGAGCTATAATATCTCTGGAGAATCCGTGCAACAAAGCCTAGCTGGCTATAAAGATAATGAAATATTGACATTATATTGTTATATTGAATTGTACAGCTAAAGCTTCAATGGGAGAAAAGGAATGGTATTTCTTTAGTCTTAAAGATCGGAAGTACCCCACTGGCCTTCGCACAAACAGAGCTACAGAAGCTGGCTACTGGAAAACGACAGGCAAAGACAAGGAGATTTTTCGTGGAGGAGTTCTTGTTGGGATGAAGAAAACCCTAGTTTTCTATAGAGGAAGAGCTCCTAAGGGTGAGAAAACCAATTGGGTTATACATGAATATAGACTTGAAACAAGACTTGGTTTCAAACCTTCTAAGGTAATCTAGTACTCCCTCTGATTCAGTTTATATAACGGAAATTTGACTGCTTGTTACATGTAAGTCAAATGTATACAAACAACAAAAAAAAAAAAATTCGGTGCACTAAACTTCTGCTATGCGTATTTCTGTAAGAGGCTTTTTTCATGTCTTGACCCGTGACCTCCTGGTCATATGACAATAACTTTATCAGCCAAGGCTCTCCTTCAAACTACTAAAAGTATTCTTTTAAATAAATGGTGGTAATAGTTTCATATGTTATTTTATTTTACATAAGAGGTGGTGAGGCTCTCAACAAGTCATGTCATTAAGAATAATCTGGGATAAAAAAAATTAAATAATTTTCAATAAGTGAAAGGTGATATTCTTTCCGAAACAAACTAATATTGAAAGTGTGTCACCAGAGAGAGTAAATTACTAAGAAAGCAAAATACAACTACGTCCTATCCATATATATTTTGTGTAAAGACATTTAATATTCTTAATCACAACATTTTTGTCTAAACTATCCTTATTCTTTTCTTATATTCTGCTTAATTAACACTCTGCTAAATGGAATGATAAGAATTTAATTACTTAAAAAATGGCATTTTGTTGTTCTAAAATGTAAAATATTTTGGAACAAAACAACTAATATGCTAAATTGAAGGGAGCCATAATTAAGTCGTCTTAACTTAGCACCTCTAGAAGAAAGGAATAGATCTAGTACACCATGAGACTGATAGAGGATGGCCACTCTATTTTTCTGGATTTATCATTTATACTAGCATTGTTAAATGTGTTTATTCTGACGGTGTATATAACTTAAATTTTACTACGTACATTGAATCACACTTTCTTTTTTCTTGCTTTCAGGAGGAATGGGTAGTATGTAGGGTGTTCCAAAAGAGCTCAACTGTGAAGAAACCACAGCCAACATCATCTTCCCCACAATCCCTAGAGTCTCCTAATTGTGACACTAACACAATAATTACAAATGAGCTTGGAGATATTGAGTTACCAATTAATTACAACTGCCTAGCCACTCCGTCAATTGGGATGATCAGCAATAATATTTCCTTGCACAATTACAACAATGAGAACATGAATATGAACTTGAACATGAACTTGGCTTCTAGCTTGTTAAACAGCTCTAATCTTTCATCAGTAAATTCTTTGCTTTTTAGGGCATTACAGTTAAGGGGATATCAACCAAGAGAAGCTACAACTACTACTAATGATTACTCATTTATGCCACCTATACAAGGGAATATTTCTCAGTTTGCAAACGATAATCATTTTAGTTCTAATTTTGTTGCTAATATTGGGGCAATACCTTCTTCATCTATGGTATTTGATAATTCTGTCCAGCAGCAACAGACACAGGAGCAACCTTACAAATTGGACTCCAATATTTGGTGAAGAGCAGAGGAACGTAACTACGTACGTACGTTAGTCTTTAGTAGTCACAACTAACTACAGCTTTGTAAAGGGAAGGAGTTGGAACCAACCAAGACTATTTGATGGAATTAATGCTTTTAGATATATTTACTGTATATGTTGCAGCAATTCCATATGGAAAAAGTGTATAAGACATAAATAAGCCCAAAAACGTGGTAAATTTATGTTCATTTAGTCTTTGATTGACATGCGAAAATCACTAGTCTAGTACTTTGTCTTTTTTTCACAATCATCAAGCTTCCACATATGCATTTGCAATTGGTGGGGTGGTGTTTGATTGGGTAGGAAATTTAAAAAAGATGAAAGATTTTGAAACTTGTAGTATAAAGCAATTCATAAATATTTGTGTGGCTATAATTATCTTATTGAGGATAAAATAAGAAATTTAAAGTTAAACTATTTTTAAATTAGGAAATATAACATTCTTTATTAGAAAAAGTAAAAAAACATGACACACAAATTGAGACAGAGGGAGTGTTAGTGGTAAGCACCCTCCACTTAGGTTGTGAGTTCGAGTCACCCCAAGAGCAAGGTGGGAAGTTCTTTGAGGGATGGAGCTGAGGGTCTATCATAAACAGTCTATCTACCCCAGGGTAGGGGTAAGGTCTGCATACACACTACTCTCCACATACCTACTAGTGGATTATACTGGGTTGTTTTTGTTGTTGTTGTTGGAGTGCTAAATAACTCCAACATGAGAAAAAAGTCGGCATTAACTCTCAAAGAGCCTCAATTATATGAGACTATCAAGTAATTACAAGTATGTCTATCGATATGTAGTAACCCGTAATTTGGTAAAATCCATGGTATGTAATTAATTTGTTCCTCCCTTTGTTCCGGTTTATGTGAACATATTTTCTTTTTGATCCGTTCCAAAAAGAATGATCCCTTTCTAAATTTGAAAATAATTTAGCTTAAATTTATAATTCTACCCTTAATAGAAAACTTTTATAACCACACAAATACTCTGGACCCCTTTTGACTTGTTTAGGACCACAAATTCTAAAAGTCTTAATTTTTTCTTAAACTTCGTGCCCAATCAAACTGGTTCACATAAATTGGAACGGAGAGAGTATTACATATTAAATTACATTGATTATTTAAATCTCATACAAAATAGCCAAGTTATGGCTATTTTTTAAATTCATTAATACATTACAATGCAAATTATGTTTCAATTAACAACTGCCCTAAAAGTGGCTAGTGGTGCGCTTAGCCCTTTAATTTTTCCAATCGTAGTTTTACCAATGTAATAGAGAATTTCACTATATGCCCCATTTTAAGCCACTATTTAAATTTTATCTCATTTTTAAAAAAATCATAAATATACTTGTTTACCCGAAAAATCGGATAACGTTGAATTTATGTATGGTTTTAAGGATACGTGATACCCTTTGATACAAATCGTATAGAGAGATAGCAATACGAATATTCTTGACTATGACAGTGGGAATAATGAATCAGAAAGAACGAATAAAACGAAGTAAAACAAGCACAAGGAGGTCTCTTTTTTTCCAGTGTATTCAGTGTGTCCATAGTTTACAAGGATCCCCCTTTTATAGTAGATGGTCATTACAAAAAATAATAAAATAAAGCATATAATGGAGGACACATGATGATTTGTCTTTTCTTCGATTCCCGTTAAGATTCTCTCTCTTGGTGCAGTTGCAACAGCTCTTATCTGTGAGCTCGATACTGGCTCGAACTAATTACTGGGTCGAGCCCTTCGGTTTTGGCTCGAGCTCGACCTTCGAGATGGGCGTCGCGCATTTTCAACCTCGAAGCAATGCCTTGCGGATCGATTCGGTCACGGGCTCGATAAGGTTATCGAGCCGACTCCTCGAGCAGCCTTCGAACTCGAGGCTCGTTAGTATTGTCTTCGGAGCTCACTCCCAAAATTCCACTCCGACTTCTTACCACTTGAACTCGATCGAACGTAGGAAGGCCGAAATCTATTTTGACCATATACAGATAGTCCCCTCGTTTCTCACAAAGGATGCGGTGAGAATCGATATGATTTTTGACAGTTCGATCGGGTTATAAGCTGACGTTTTAACAGGGATCGATTATGACGTATGTGATAGATGTCCCATCGATTTAGCCTTTCAAGGTATTTAATGCTTGTCAGATGGCGGTTGGCCACCTCTGATATTGAACCGTCATGATGCGAGCCTATAAATAACCCTTCCATCTAACATTTACCATTTTTACACATTCACTCCCCCAAATTTTTTTATCTTTTCTCTCTATCTCGTCGCTTGCAGAGCCATCTACACCAGAGTTTTGGTGTCGTCAATTTTTCACTTTTCTTTGCCTTTCTTCCTCTCATATCAATGGCCAAAACTTCGAAAACTGTACATCAGAAAGAGAAAGCTTCTTCTTCACAGCCGTCCGGCGACAAGGCGCCGGTGGAGCCGTCCACCTATGACTATGTTCCCGGCCCGTGTACTCTGAAGATCAATTTTAAGGTTGAGAATCCTTCATCTATTCCGGGTCGATGCGAGCACGTGTCGATGTACATGTTCTCTATAACGGAGGGTCATCTCGAGGGTGTTAGGAAAGACTGCAACTGGGGTTCTGAGGTTGTGTTGCAAATTCATCCCCCGAAGAGAGCGTCATCACCCATGTGGAGGGATTTTTAAGTGTTTACACTTATCCATTCACATTGGGTCCCGTCGACCCGGTGATCATTGATTTTTGCAAAAGATATCAGGTCACCCTCGGTCAAATTCATCCCTCTCTATGGCGTATAGTAATCCTACTTCGCTTCTTCTTCATCAAAGCCGAGGGGCTGGATTTTTCCCTGAATCACCTCATACGATTGTATCGGCCTCAAATCTTTCGAGGACTAATCAGACTTCATCGTTGGGCATCGAAGGCTTTGATGTCAAGCATCGACGAAGACAAGGATCGGGGTTGGATAGGCCGTTATATTCGAGTGAGGACCCGTGACCTTATTCCGGAAGAGAAGATGTCATTCCCCGAGGAATGGAATTTCGACCGTAAGTGGTTCTCATAAGACGTTGCTTTTCGTATCTTTTCCCGATTTTTTCTGATGTCTTTCTCCGATATACAGCTGCCTCTTGGATACCACAAGCGGTGCCCGACCTCGAGGATTGGGTTCGAAAGTTAGCCTCGACCTCCTCTTATGTCGAACGCGCTTGGCGTGATTTGGCAAAAGGTAGATGTGAGGCCAAGAATCACGGTAAGGTTTTACTTCTCGTTTCCTTCGAAGTGTTCTTTATGCTCCATTCGTTACCGATTTCCTTTCATGTAGGTGTAACCAAGGATGCCGCTTTAAGGCATTTGAGCGGTAAAGAAGGAACCAAGTCCCCGGTCCCGAAATCGGGGAAAGATAAGAAGTGAAAAGCTGCCTCTCGGTCTGAGGATCCCAAGCCCAAAACTCGAAGGGTGAGGAGAAAGGCAATTGCTCTTCCGATTGACTCGGTCCAACGACTGAGAGAAGAAGAAGAAGACGAAGAAGAAGAAGGTGGTGCCTCAGCTCTAGTGATCCGATCTGCGAGAGCTATCGGGGTCACCAAAGCTCCTGAGCCGATGGCGGCTGTACCGGTCGGGGTTGGCCCCGGGATCCCGATTCTTGATCGGAGCGCCCCGAGTGATTCCCTTGGGGCTATGACAGTGGGTCATTTGCCTTGCCTTCCAACCTTTTCTGAGGAGGCGTTAAAGGAAGCTCGAGAATTGAAGACCCCCGATATGGGTGGAGGCTCTAGTATAGGGGATCCCTTTCGGGATTGCTTTACTGGAGTCGATGATGCTTCCGATATTGGAGACGCTTATCTTCTACTAGAAGAGGCCCAATGTTTCATTACTCGGGTAATGGTTTTACTATACTTGATTTCTTTGTTCTTTTCCAAACTTGACTCGTGTTCTTTCCCTACTGTACAGGCCATTGGTAGGTTTCGAGTCGACCTTAGCCAGTGTGAGGTCGAGCTTCAGAAGGTCTCGGGGGAGAGAGACACCCTGCGGCTTCTTTGCAGCCAAAAGGACGAGGCTATAAAGGACCTCCAAGCGAATTTGGCTAAGGCTCGTGAAGAAGAGGCCGAACTCGATAAGTAGGTGAGCCTCGTTCTGTTAAAGTATGGGTTTGACTTGACTGTGTAAGTTAACCCTTCATTGTCTCAACTGCAGCAAAAGGTTGAAAAGATCGGGTCACTTCGGGAAGAAGTTGATCAAATAAAAGTTGAATGTAATTGGTGGAAGGAGACTATCGACCGCCTGGCTGCGAAAAAAGAGACCATTTTGACCAACTTATTATCGGCCGATGTTCATCTTCAAAACGTCAAGCAAAAGGGTTCGGCTCAAGCTAAGAGGATCGAGGAGCTTGAAGCTTGGCTTGCTGAGGCCAAGGCGGAGGTTAAGTCGTCGAAAATTTTGGCGGATAAGTCTATTATCGTGTATCGAGCAGATGCCTAGGCTGCTCAGATGGAGGCATGAGAGGCGGCGGATACTGCCGGCACTCGAGCACATTGGATTGCCAAACTTGCTAAATGTAGGTCTCGGAGGGAGACCCTCGAGGAGATACACGCTCGAGGTTTTGACCTTACTGAAGAAATAAAAAAGGCCAAAGAGCTCAAAGCTGAAGCTGAAGCCATGGCTTCTGATGGCGATGATGATGATCAGGAAGCTTAGTTCTTAATTTTTTACGTTTGTAATCAATCATGTAAAATTTTTTGTATATAGACAACTTGGCCGACTTGTGAAGACTTTATACGTGCCTTACAAATGTTTTCACAAGGATCTTAACAATTTAATCTAATTTGGAATTCGTAGTCTCTATGATTGATTGTTTTTTCAGACTCGAAGTGACGTAGCCCCTAGGCTTACTAGTTGAGTCAATGATTAGAACTCGAAGAAATATAACCCGTAGGCGTAATAGTCGAGTGAGCGCTTGCTTGAACTCGAAATGAAAGCAGCCCATAGGCTTTAGTCATCGAGTGAATGATTCGAACTCAAAGTAATGTAGCTCGTGGGGGTAATGGTCGAGTGAGTGCTTGCTCGAACTCGAAATAAAAGTAGCCTATAGGCTTTAGTCATCGAGTGAATGATTCGAACTCGAAGTAATGTAGGCCGTGGGCGTAATGGTTGAGTGAGTGCTTGCTCAAACTCGAAATAAAAGTAGCCCGTAGGCTTAGTCGTCGAGTGAATGATT